GATCATCACTACACAAACGACGAAGACGAAGAAATTGCGAGAACGGAACAGCGTTAAGAGTGTGCTTGGGAAGAGAGGACGAGTAGAGTAAATAAGAAAGAGTCAGTAGGTTTGTAATGGACACTAGTGCTAAGACGGTCGTCCTTAACACTGAGCAAGATGTCAAGGAAAGTGACTGATGTTTCACTAACCTCCCACGTAAAGTCTAAGGCAGGGTGAAAAGAGTTAACAAAAGARATGAAAGAATCTAAGTCATTACGAGAACAAGAAGTAGCACCAATACAATCAACAATATACCGTTGTCACAATAACAAAGAAATGCGGCTTATTCACCTATTGGGCACTCTTAGTCCCAACGGGATTAATGAACGCTTTGCTTTCAACTAACTCTTTCTTTTGTCTTTTGATTGTTTGTTTTTGTTTCCTTGCCTACCTTGTTCCTATTGGTTTCTTTTGTCTTAATCTATCATATAAACACTCCTTTCTACCACCTCTTTCTCTTTTACTCCGACGAAGGACTAGCGTCCGAAACGTCAGTAAGTTGTTTCATCTTTTCACGGTGTATAATTTCCCTCTTCATGAATTTCTTGTGAATTTTCAGCAAATTCAGGGCCTATGAAAATCATCTTGAATGTGTGAGGACCCATTAAAAACCCATGAAATATCTCCTGCACACAGCTGACAGCGATTTCATTAAATTTCGATGGACCTGAAAAACCCATGATTTATAACAAATTGAAAATTCATGGGCTATTTTCATGGGGGTGTCTAAATATGGCAAAAATTCTCTACCCATAAAAATAATTACCAAATTTTCATATGTTTTTCATGCCCCATGAAAATAATGGTTCTATTGCTGGCGCCAACCTAATAATCATGGCCATGAAGTTTACCCCAAGGAACTTTTTATGCCATTTTCATGGGATGGAATTCCATGAAAATGATTATGCATGATTGTTTCAATAAAATAACTTCGTAACTATTATAGAAAGAACTGATATAATATAACAAAATCCAGAAGCAATAGGAAAGTGCTTGAATGTATACATGGGGTACAATGATACAACAAAAACAAGACTATTTGGCCAATAGTGGATGTTCTATTGATGTTGCACAAATAGATATATAGTATGTATAAATACAATAATATATATATACAATATAATTATGAATAAAATGTAAATTCCGACCGTAAAATGTTTCTGTAAATATTCAAAAACAGTGTATGTTGGTTAAAACTAAGCAACATGCTTGTAATAATCATAATATAATAAATTCATAATATAATAAATTAAGTATTTTCCTGAAGCATAGGCTTTGCACCATCACATGATGGCAACCATAGCATGACAGGTGTTATAGCTCAAAACTCATGTATTTGGCTTGATAATTAGCATAATGCTTCTCGATGGATTTCAGGTTTCCTACATTAAAGGAGTTCATGATAATTTGTCTTATAAACCATAGATTTAATGTTCCGAGCTTTCGCCCTACTTGGCCATCCTCAGGGAAGTGAAAAACGTTATTGACATATTGACAAAGAAAAAACGCGATCAAACCATGGCATATGTGCGCGCGCAT